GCAAAAATATGAAGTTGATCACTTCCAACAACCTACTTTAAGTATTTTTAAGTGTGATTTTTGTTTTGTTTGTTTGTTTTGTCCATTTTAATTTCCAAGGATTTCTACATGAACATATTTTTCTCTGCTTGTGTCTGGGTCTTTATGCAAATATCTGGTGTAAAGCAGCTTTTCAAAAAATCTCTGTGCTGTTCTTTCACCCAGGTCCACAACTGTTTATCTATGGGTGTTGCTGTTGGCTTGGGGAAGGTGAAACTCTTTCATGTCCAGAAGCCTTGCATTGGTGTTCTAATAAACAAGGACCTTGCCACTGGCTACAGCTCTGGTCTCCACCAGCATTTCACAGAGGTGTCAGGAGGAAATGGTTGGTTGGGGGAGTTTTCAATTTCCCAAAATGATTCCATGGGCTTCATGAAGTGGCTAAAGAGCCTGAAAGAACATCCAGATGTTGTTTCGGTGTCTGTTTCAATGTTTCGACCTCTCTATCAGCTCGTGACAAACAAGCTTCAAAAAGCAGCAGTGAAATCTGCTATTGAGCAGTATTTGGAGGACAATGCTAGGTGGAAATCACCCCAAGAGCCACACTGTGAGGGATCTACTCCTGATTTGTCCTCTAACTGCTGCCCTCAGCACGCCTCAAGGGGAACTCTATCAGTGACCATTGTTCGAGGCTGGGATCTCAAAGGAGATCAGATTTTACAAACTGACAGGTGGGTTGAAGCAAAGGTAAAAAAACAAAGACCTTATGGAACCTGATGAGCACACCTTTTATATGGCTCCTCTTTGTTCACAGCTATGCCAGGATGTACTATGGTTCCTTAAACCGCAAGACCCAAATCATCGTATCCGATAATCCTCAGTGGAACGCTGAGTTTAATTTGGGCAAGGTCAGTAAACGTTATCATCACAGATTAGCTGAAAAAGCTCAACAACAGACAAATTGATCTATTTCCGCTGCTGATGCAGCAGAATTTATAGATCTAATACCAGCATCAATTTTTGCAAAAATAGACATTCAATTACCGGCAGTGAGGATAATTGGGTTTTTATGCATCAGTCTTGAAAGAAAGCTGATCTATTCTTTGGTGCCATCAAAACTATTTGTTAGCAAACATTTGATATTGGGTCAAATGTCATTTAATATCAGAAATGCATTGTAGTTTCAATTTCAACTAGATGATGTTAAATTATTGATCATGAACTAATTTGTCCTTCAACTTGTTGCTCACATGAACCAGCAGCCACAATGACAAGAAAAGAGCACCTCCCTTTAGGCCCGACTCGTTCTTGTTTCGGTTCTCAGAACCAACCTGGGTGTCTGTGGACATGCGGCTCCCACACTCACTGCTCTGCTTAACCTGTTGTTGAGACAGGAAGTGCTGATCCTCTCTTATTGCTTTTTCAAATAAATCATAAGCATAAAAACTTGGCTTTCCAAACAACAAATGTACAAAATGAACCTTCAATGTCAAAGTAAAAACTTTTTTCCCAATTCTTTTCTCTGTCCTACTGATTGCTTATTTTTTGTTTTTAAAAACCTGTCTGAAATAAATAAATCAAATAAGACAAATCAAAGTATAAAATGATATGTAATGCAGACAAACTGCATATTCTGAACTTGGGGAATGTACAATCAACTCCATTTCTAGATCCAAGCCAGGCTGCAGACTCTTTATGTTTTGGGATACTGGGTCAGCACCTGCATGAAAAAGTATTTGGTTTTACTTGAATAGACATGCACATTTCATGGTGTTTATGGTCGAGTACAAATAAAAGTAGAAAAAAATCTGAAAATATTTGAACAGAAACCACTTTACACATATATTGTGTAAACAGACACAGCCTAGCTGATGTATTTCATATCTTGTGCTGTTGTGTTTTGGCTAACATTACTCTGCATTTATCAACTTTTGAGATGACTGGAAAACATTTTTATTTTCTATATCACCTAAATAATTTGACTATGAACGAGAAAATATGCATCTGAATGATCCTCCATTCAAATTTTCTCATGAAGGTTGACACAAGGCTGGCTCTGAAGATTGAGGTTTGGGATGAAGACTGGAAATCTGACGAACTTCTCGGAAAGTGCGAGAAGTACCTGAGCCCTGGCACTCACACTTTCACGTGCAAAGCCACTCCAGGAGGCTTTGAGGTTAAATACACGCTGACCTGTGACCCGTATCTGACTGGAGAAAAGTGCAACCTTTATAAACCATCTTCTTAGTGGCAGGAGATTGGTGAGTTTTGGGAATAAAAGCATTTCATTTCATCATATAAAATTAACTCACTAAATCTGATAGAAACTCTGTTAAAGACCTACCTAAATGTGTATTTATCATACAATGAAAAAAATTTAAGATTTTGTGTAACATTTAATCACAAGAAATAACTATGCTTTAATATATACAACCAGAAATTGTGTTCCCTTTAATGACAATAAAAATTTTGAAACTGCTACAAGTTGTTGACTTCATATATTTTTGACAAATCTTGTATTAGTTGTATGAATTACGACTCATATGTGTTAATATAAAAGAGAGAGAGACATAGTTACGTTACAGGACGTGTCACAAAACTATTTGGTCAAGACCTTCTGTATGCAGCAAAGCGAAGAACCAGGGGACAAATTTTTCAACCTGATCATTGTTTCCTTACAGTTTTATGGTTAAAATCAAGAGGGGCTGATGAAATTTATTAATTGAAATTATCGGTAACACTTTATTTGAAGGGGGTTGAATAAGACTGTCATGACACTGTCATAAACATGACATAA